GATACCCAGGCATTTGGGAAATTTCCCAGATACCCAGGCATTTGGGAAATTTCCCAGATACCCAGGCTTTTAAGAAATTTCCCAGATACCCAGGCATTTGGGAAATTTCCCAGATACCCAGGCATTTCCCAAATACCTATTTTAATAGAAAATGTAAATGCTGTCGTGACATGCAAAATTGAAATAGAAAGTCGTCCTCATTGTATTGATATAATTACCTACCACTGTATTATATAAACTTTAACTTTTAAAGATAATCCCACCTTAAAGTTTTCATCCTCAAAAGTATCTCCATAAATAGAATAACCACCAGTGCCGTCACCGCTACATTTTGTAACATTTTTTTAAAATTATCATTTTCTTTTGTAAGTAAATTCATTTTATGGTAATTATGGACCTAGACGGAATTTCAAGTGACCCTGAACAAAAAAGTGTCATGAACGATGAACAACGGTACCATAAAAGCTTCAAATGACCCAGAATGAAGAAGATGTCCAGGTTTTTAACTTTCAAAAATTATTATTTTCTCTAGAAATTAACTGGATAATTTCTGTTTCAGAATCAATGAAGGAATAAGTTCTGCAGAGTCTTGTTAGTCAAGCATGCTCCTTTTTAAATAAAGGTCCACTCGAAAATACAACAACAGTCACTTTAAAGAATTTTAGTGAATTTTAAAAATTTAAAGATTTTACAAATGATTCCTTACTTTGTAAAGTCTCCTCCCTAACAATACAGATGTTGATTAATAATTAAATAATTCTTATTTAATTAAACATTTATCAGTTCCATGATTTGCAAATAACTGGGAAACCGGAAATAGTTTAATTTGTTCATCACTGCTGATATTTGCTGTAATTTTGTTTTCGTGATATTTGCAATTTCCTTGATTGCAACATTGCAAAATTTAAATTTTGTGATTCTTATCTCAAAACTATTTGATTTAATTTTGAATTATGGCTGATAACTGATTGTTTCAAATTTCAATTTTTTAATCCCTAGATCTTTACAACCTGATGGTTCAAACCATTGATATTAAAATGTTGACGTCTTGATGTAGCAGATCTGAGGTGAACATCAGAGTGCAAAGATATAAAGATTAAGAAAATTAGAGTAATTAGTTCCTGTTTGAGGAATTATTGTTACCATTTTACTCCTATAAGACCATTTAACTCGAAGTGAAAAAGAAAATTCAAGTATCTCAAAACTTTTGTTATTCTGATCATGTTTGCTTCAAAACTTCTGATCATGTTTGCTTCAAAACTTCTGATCATGTTTGCTTCAAAACTTCTGATCATGTTTGCTTCAAAACTTCTGATCATGTTTGCTTCAAAACTTCTGATCATGTTTGCTTCAAAACTTCTGATCATGTTTGCTTCAAAACTTCTGATCATGTTTGCTTCAAAACTTCTGATCATGTTTGCTTCAAAACTTCTGATCATGTTTGCTTCAAAACTTCTGATCATGTTTGCTTCAAAAACTTCTGATCATGTTTGCTTCAAAAAACTTACGGTATGATTTAAAATTAGTAAATGTAACTATGGCTTACAGAATGGAGTCTTTGCAACAAACTTTAATTTTCTAATCATAACATCGTTGCAACCTGATCGTGCAAACCTTTGATATTTCAAACTTAGATTATTTGATCTAACAAAATTCAAAGTTTGGAACAACAAAGGTTTATGACATTGAGTTGCAAAAATTTAAGAATGATAAAATCAGTGATAGAGGCAAAGATTTGATTTCGTTTAAAACCCCACAATGACGTTGTTGGGTATACTACGTCGTACTACGTAAAGAGATTTAATTGATTAAAGACTGAATCAAGGAAACATGAAGAGTAGGAATTAGTATAATAGAGGAAGGTGATTAAGTATAAAATTTGCTTAATTTACACATCTAAAAACAAGTTCGCTAAAAACAAGACAAAATGTCACACCCTTTCATCTAAATGAATAAAAGTGGAAATAATTAACATGGAATAAAAACTTACCTGAATCATAAAATTTTTCTGAATTCTGTGAAAGCAAGATTGAGAATATCCTTCTCCCTAAAAAAGTAGAATAATTCGCACATTAATGTGGTTTCATATATTAATGAAAAATAACAACGTCTTTGAAACGTAGAGTTTCATTTTCATAGATAGTGTACAAATGAAACAATTTGTATACATATACAATGACTTATTTCTAAAGGAAAACTTTTAGTTGAAGTAAACATTACTAAATAATCAATCATACTAAAAAAATTAACATTTTGTTTTGACTTAAAATTTTCAAAACTATACCTTCGGTTTGCAGGCTGTGAAAATATCAAATTAAGTATAATATTATTAAAACAATAATCTTGAAAACACCCGTTATCTTTTTTGTGATTTAAATTTTCACAGAAATAGTTTTCAAATAAAAACTAAGGGATCAAGCACTTGAAATTAACCGAGTATTTGCCACACACTTTAAAGTATTAATCCTTATTTATGTATATGTAAACCGATGATGAATCTTTGATATTTCAAACTATGAATTCTGTACACACACTTTGAAGGGTTAATCCTTATATGTCTATGTAAACCGATGATGAACCTTTGATATTTCAAACTATGAATTTTGTAAGATCAAATATTGAAAGATCAAAGTTTGAAATAATCAGTTTGCAAAGATATAGGAATTATAAATTCAATTTCTGTCAGTTTCCACAGTGTTATTAAGCTCAGAGTTTCAGATTAACGCTATAAACTTTTTTAAAAATTGTTATATTTAAAGTTTAAAGATATATTTAAAAGGACTGTAAACACAATTTAAAGTGAACCTACATTACATAGAGTAAAGTGTTCGATTCACATCGGCACTGTTTAAACCTGTTTGTGAGTAGTATTAAGGAAAATATTTTTTTTTAGAAAAAACACAATTATAAATAATCATTTTTTTATTTATAAGATAAAGATATCACATTCTTTCTTGATCAGACAAAGGGTATCGTTGTAAATAAGAAATGCCACACAATAAATGGAGGTTCACCTGAAATTATGTCCTCAGTCCCTTTAAGTTTGTTTTCTTTTTTAAAACCAAGTGATAATATTAGAATTTGATATCCCTAGTTGTGCAAAATTTTCCGTAGTTTCAGGAACAATTTTACCAAATAATCCGATATTTATTCTTCCAGCCTCCTCCCCTCCTATACTCACACACATATAAACCTCCTGGAAATGGGGGAAAATATTTGAAAAAATATTTGAAAAATATGATTTATCTCATACAAAGTTCTGATGGAGAAAGGACCACTAACTTTGAGAATTAAGTTCAAAGTTTTGAATCAAAAAAATATTTGCTTCTGATTAAATGTATTTTTAATGTTTGACTAAGCGTAAAAAAGGTAAAACTATGGTTTTGTGCGTTGTTTCAACAAGAGTTTTAGTAACATCTATCATTTTTGTTGTATCTAACATGACCCTGCACTGAAGGTTCAATGTTTACAGGTAAAATTAAAAATGTGCATTGAAAAATGGCACGAAGCGCTCTAAAAGCGTCGTATAATTTTAAACATACAAAGGTAACCAGAAAAAAATTAATTCCAGTCGTCATCGTTCTTTATTTTGTAAATAAATTTTGACATGGATGGATCGTATCTACTGGACACATTATTTTAAATAATCGATTTCAAATTACACAATTTCATTATATAATGTCAGAAAGAAACCAACTTGCATTCCTGTTTTTTCTGTTTACCACTGTATGTTACATTCAAAAATGTATTCTTAAAGGGAGGTGTAGGCTTAATGCGATAAAAAAGCGCTTTTGATCGCTACTAATCTTACTTCTCTGTTGCGTCTATAAGGGGAAATTGTTAAAAACGACTAATACCGAAGAACGTAGTGTCCATACAAATTCAGAAAGATGCAAAATACAACTCGGATCGTAAACAAATCAATTTATTTCCAAACAAATCATTCAGATATTACAAACAATAGTCATCGATTATTTTTCGACGCATTCGTAAATAGTTGATATTTCATAATATTTTGTATTTTTCATGATCTGAGAGTTACTTTTGACATTTTCATATTTTCCAGGAATGTTAGAAAATCCAGCGCCAGCGAAAATTATTTTTTTTTTAATCAAAAATATTATGAAATATTAACTATATACGAATGCGTCGAAAAATAAGGTTAATTTGAATAAAATTGGAAAATTTGCTTTTAGAAAAATGTCACCTTTGTTACTTTCAGTTTTGCCATTTTTATTCTAAACATAAATCCTAATTAGGTAGAGTTTAAACCTACAATGCATTAAAACTTTTAATTCAAACTGGTAAAGTTTTGAACTGGTGGCTGGTGTAAATTAACTGTTTAATCATGGCAAGATGTAGTTCAAAACTAATAAAATGTGCTGATCTTTGCAACTTTGTATATCAATCTAAACATTTCATGAATTTTAGAAAGCCAAGATACAGAGGGTTTCCCCTAACCATAAAGTTGTTGACTTTAAAAGTCAATATGATAAAATAAAAGGAGATCTACATGGATATTTCTAACATTTATTTAATAAAACGAAAGTTTTGAAATAGTTTCCCAAGTGGCATTAAAATTGGTTGGTTTAGAAATTAACAAAAGGAATAAATGACGACTATTTGGGGGGACTTCATGGGAGTGATGTAGAGCTTCATGTTGGTGGAGTAGATCTACAGGAACTGAAACAGCAGGGCTTATCCAACCTAGTAGGCAGTGATCGCGGTTTTATCATGAGGTGGAGCTTCATGTTGTCTCTGGTTTACATGATAAACTGGGAACCCTTCGGGTAAGCACGTCTGCTGCTCACTGAGTATCTGCGTCATCATCATGAAGGAGTCATGGGTTGAGATGGAGTTGTGGATGTCTTGAGTGTTTGTAGCTGACTGCCGGGGCTGGGATCTGTAGAAGGGGGGGGGGAGAAGAAGCGGGGTTTGACATGTGGGCACTACGTGGAGGAAATAGATCTTGAGTACGCATACATCTAGAGAAAAGGCTAAGGCATTTGAATCGGAAAAATCGTCTTCCTTATATTTCGAATTAATTTTAACAAAAGTATATGTTCCTTGGTTCTTTTCTGAAAAATTTGATTAAAGGAATTGAGTTTTTGCCACAAACTCAAATCTTCTGATCCAAATATCTTGCAGTCTGATGGTGAAAAGCTTTGATATTTCAAACTCAGATTATTTTCTCTATAAGTATAAATAGCTTGAAATATCTTAGGTCTACGAAATTGGGTTACAAAGATAAAGAGATTAGAAAATCAGAGTTTGTGGCAAAAACTCAATTCCTTTTATGCTCTAAATTAAACAGGAGTTCTTGCCACAAAGTTTTATTTTCTAATCCCTATATCTATATCTATATATGCTATCCAATATGTCGGAGACTTTTATATTTTAAACTTGTTTCGCGACCAACATGGTCTCGATCTGTTGATGAATCTACCCTGGATTTACTGGTCTCGATGATGAGTTGGTTCTGGTTTAGAGACGTGAGATCTGTCAAGTTTGCAGTATGCTCTGTCTAAAGAACCGGTTTTATTTTGTGTTTGCCTATTCTCGTGTTACCGTACAGCCTATTGTGACCATAGCAGTTATTAAACATGTTTTCGTGTTGTTTCCGTGATTACAATTGCAGCATAAATGCGTTGAAAATGAATGTGTTATATATTTTCAGAAAAAAAACTTTTTTGACTTGAGATTTATTCTTCAGAAAATCCTATCTAGAAAATTTCTCTATGTCTTGTCATAAAGATCGGTTATAGTTTTTAGGTTTATGGAATCTTTAGGGACCCACTTACTCACCGTAGTTAGTGATTATCTGATAAATTAGGCAATATTCTGTTCGATAGCAGTGAAATTTAGCTCATCTGAATGAACTAAAAGTAAACATGAAAGAGGACTATTGATATATGTTTTTAAAATGTCAAAACTACATGTAGGCCTCATTAATATAACGATTTAGACCTTTATGTTGTGTTTTTCTTTAAATTTATATTTAATTTAAAAGCTATAAATTCTTTATAGTTTTTTTCATAGAATTCATACATGGGGACTTTATGTCATTTTAATTGTTTGTTTGTCCATTTGCCTCTATCTAATGTGTTTCGAGTCTCACCGTCGTGTCCCTAGAGAAACATCAACCTGTACGTATGAAAAAGTTAAAAAACATATTTTGCAATTTTTTATCTTGCTCTCTAGTTTTCATAGTATAAGTTCTGAAAAAAATCTGTTGGGGTTTTAAAATTAATTCTTAAATTCAAAATAGAAAATTCAAAATCTATCAAAACCTTGGGTTTAAATAAAATTTGCTTGTAATGTAATTTTTCATCTGTTTACAAAAAAACGGTTTGGGAAAGGTTTTACCGATAAATTTGAGGTACTTCGCTGAACTACCTACTGCCGCAACCGGTTCACATTTGAACCACCGATTCAAAGTTAAAGATTAAGGATCAGGATATAAATCGCTCATTCAAATTTGAACTGGAGGTCGGCAGTTTAAATTCATTAAATTCGGTTCCAGATCAATTTAAGAGAACACTGAAAATTATCGAAAATTAGTAGAATTTTTCGAAAATTTGTCCAAAATTGTTTGCTGGGATAGAAAAAACAATAGACACGATTTTCAATCCATTTTTCATAGGATATGACTAAACATTTGCCAACTTTTAACATTATTTTAGTTTTGAGAAACAAATACGTTTAGATACATTACATTTTGACTTCTTATATATCACTCTCCCTGTTTCGATTTAGCAAAGTTTAGAACACATTTACATCACTTTTCTAGTGATTCGAAAACATTTCAGTGACATAATATAATTTAGAATGTCGTCTTTTCTATAATTCTGCTTTGAAAAGACGATCGAATATACATATATTGTATAATGTATATGATTCTTTGGTTTTCATGGCACCTAACATTTTACGATTTAAAATGATTTTTTAAAAATTTTGTTTGGAATATCGAACTTCCATATCTTGAAAATTGTGTAAATTTCAAAATCAACTGTTTGAATTTTATCTGACTTCAGAATAACATTTAAAAAATTAATAAGAAATAACATGGTGTTGAACTCAGAATGTACTATTGTGGGGAATTCATTTGAGACGTTTTACGGTGTTTATTTGGGAAGCAAGAGCGTAAATTCAATCTTTTAAATCCACATAGATTTTCCATTTTGGAGGGATAATTTTGAACATTGTTTTTTAAAAAATAATTAACTCTATCATCAAAGAAAAGTAATCTTATTCAGTTAGTAGGTTCTGTAATGTCTCATTGTTCGCAAACATTTTCAGAGATATCCCCCAAATTTTATTGAAAAGACGACATTTGAAGTGTTTGAAGAAATTTGCGAACACATTTTTATTGATTAATAAAATCCAATATAATGATAAAAAAGAAATAATTGATAATGATTTATTGACTTTCTATTGAGAAATATGTTCCTAAACATCCAATTAGTTTAATTAAAAATTTTTGTAACATTTTTCGCCGTTGTTATTGAATGATTAAAAAAACGATTCTTAAAATGATCTCTCCAGAATGGACAATGAAGGAGGATGTTAAAAATTAAATATGCACTCTCGCTGAGCAAATATTCACCGTAAAAACGTCTGATAGGTCTCAAAACAATCCTAAAAAATTTCTTTACAAAACTGCATTTTCAGATCAACTACCATACAATGCCAGTCACTCCCTTCAAGGGAAATTATAAGTTATGAGTGAAGACATGTTTAATTTTATTTGTCCATATGAATTGTGCATTTTGTATTTATTATATTACAAATTTACCCCAAGAAATTTCAGCGTAAACATATGATGGTGTGCGGCATTGCGTGGTTGACGCACGGTAATTATTGATTTTAGTTTTATTGTACATGTTGGTAACACTAGCTTTCTCTGACCCCCCTGACTCCCCCTGACTCTGTAGTAAACACCTACTCCATAACAAGTTCTCGAAACGTATCTATCCAGGTACAATCCGTCCGCTATCAAATTCAACCAGGACTGAATCCCAGGCTCTAAATGCCACACAGGGACACAAGCCTATGCTATACAACAAGCTTTTAGGGTTCATGATATTCGCATGAATACAGGTCATTTTTGCAATATCATAATAAGTGGCAGAACTGATAGTGAAAATATCTAAAAATACTTAAACCCCCTTTCCCAGGAATTCATGAATCGCTAAATTGCAAAACTGGGTGGACTTCTTGCCCCCCTACAGGGGGGGGCAAGCCTTCTTAATGGCATGCCCCCCCTAATCCGGATTGCAAAATAGGGTGGACTTCTTGCCCCCCCCCTACAGGGAAGGGCTTGGGGGGCAGGCAAGCCTTCTTAAGGGAGTGGCATGCCGCCCCCCTTAAACCAGATAGGGGGGCCTTGCCCCCCTTGCCCCCCCCCCACTGATTATTAGTGAATGTGATTATGATTAATTAATTTGTGAGTAACTCAGTTACTACTTGAGATTGATTGCGGATAAACGGTGTAATAGTCGGTACAGTCCGGTGACCTAAAACCTGTGAATTGGGGCTCATTTGGCCAGCATGTTTGAGCTCGGAGCAGACTGGAGCATAAGACAATCATATTACGTATTTACTGTCAAAGTCAAAGTTTAATATACTTCTTTAAAAGATTCGTGAGAATAGATATAACGGACTAAAGCTATCCGGGAACTTCTGGATCAACATCCATCCCATGGTTTCGTCTCCGGTTTACGGTTACTCATTGTTTAATCTATACAAGCTTATACAAGGAGATATATTTCATACTTTAGCCGTATCAATACTAGAGTTTAAACTTTAGCAGCTACTAGCTAGTGTCCATTTTATTGCCCATTGAACAGCGAACTCGTATAGAATACTAATCTATAACTAGTTAAGAAAAAGTCGGATACAAGCCGACTTTTGATAACTAGTCCACAAACTTGAAACAAAAAGTTGTAAAAAAGTCGACTTTTTCATCCCAGTTTTAAACAAGTTACAATCTTGGAACACAAGTCCTAAAAAGTCTACTTTTTTATCCTAGTTTTGACAAGTTTGAAACTTTGAACAAACGTCGTAAAAAGTCGACTTGTTCATCCCAGTTTCGGACTAGTCACAAACTTGTAATACAAAGTCGTAAAAAGGTCGAATTTATCATCCCAGTTTCGGACTTGTCACAAACTTGGAATAAAAAGTCGTAAAAAAGTCTCATCCCGTTATGATACATTTTAAGGAAAACAGCAAATTGGGAACGTTTGATAATAAGGGAGAAAGGCAATATTTGTGTAAGCGTAAATAGTGCTTTCTCCCTTTACCTATCTATCTATCTAGTTTTCTTTATATCTATCTATCTATTTGAAACTTACTTTCTATCTGTCTAAATTGCATGGTTTAGTCAGTGGTACACTGTTTACATGATAACAGTATACCTGGATTCTGAAATTCTTTTATTTTTTTTATTTTAAAGGTTGTGACAATTTTATTTTTTATTTTTTTTTTTATTTAGAAAGTTAAATTCAGAACTTGATCTATCCAACAATTCTAAAAACAAAACATAAACCATTTTTGTTTTGATTGAAGTTCCCTGTGCTATAGATAGTAGCAATCTCTGACTGTTTTGATGTCCGATCATAACTCATGAACCCCTGAACCGAATTGCTTTTAATTTTGATTAATTAGATGTCAGGAGAACCACGGGAATGTGCTTAGTTAGGTTATTGTAATTGTAAGTTGAGTGGAAAACTCTAGGTAAAAGTGGGTTCCCCAGCTAGCAGAATATATTTCTATATTACATCATTTAGTTTTTTTCTTAACTCAAGATTGATAGCAAATCGATATTTTAAAAAAAGTGTATTTTTAAACTTATAAATTCTTCCAAGAGACCAATGAGGAGACATTTTTACTTTGTTTGTATAAAATGTTTTGTTTTATCATACTATAATTAATCCTGTAAATGGTAACAAAACACACAAAAAAGATTGATAAATGAAGTTCAGTATTTGTAGGTTAGAAGTTTACTCTATCTGTATTTATTATTTAAAAATAAATTGATTACATGTAGATATTTAATAAATGTATATTCAGGGGTCGAAACTTTTTTTTAAATTTGCGTAGAAAATTATAAAATACAGTATATATATTTTTTACAGAAAAATGGCAGAATATTAAAAAAGAGATTATTAAAAAATAATGAGTATCCGGTAAGTAAAGGAACTGAGTCTTTACTCATTAATTTTTTTCCAGAAATTTAAAGGTTGCAAGATCTCACGCTAAAATCAATGAGAATTTTTCCAATTACTTATCCAAAACTTAATAACAACTGAGGTAAAATCAGAGACCAGGGCGTTACGACACTTTATAAGTCTTGAAAATCTAAACAACTTTTCGTAAGCCAGACTACATCTCAGGATTTAAAATGATTGAAAATGTGAATTATTTATTTTAGGTCCATGGAGCAAAAATATGGGCAATACTTGTTTCAAAGGAAGAATAGGAATTGCCAACAGGTATTCTCACTTTTAACCAAATTTTGTTCTTATTATATTCTGATTAAATTTTGATTCTTCTAAAAATATTCTGATTAAATATACTGCTCATATTCTGATTTAAATATGAACTAATCTTTGGCTTAAATTTACCTATAATTAAACATAGTTATGAGAACAAAAATGCTGGGTCTAACAGTAACTTTTAATGCAAAACTCTTTGTGTTAGTATTCTGTATGCTTTATATATTTTTGTAAAAAGGTGTGAATACTCCACCCCCCACCCCCCCCCACCTCAACGCTTTTAACATTTAAAACTAATTGTGTGTAACAATAGAAAACTAAAACAAAAAATATAAAATTCGATTTTCAGAACAAGAATATCTGAGAAAATGCTTGATTGAATGATCGGCTTTGGCTGATCCTTCTAATGATAGTTGGGCTTAAGATCCTATAATTGATTGATTGATTGATCAATTTTGGCTATATGCCTATTTTTGCTTGGGTTTAATCCTATATTTGATTGGTTGATCAATTAGGTTAGGACTATCCAATAATTTAGTTAGTGATCAAATGAACTATCCACCAACTGATAATGGTTGGATTTTATCCTGTAACAATTGAATTATTGATCTTTTAGGACTATCCACCAACTGATGGTTGGATTTAATCCTATAAAAATTGAATTATTGATCTTTTAGGACTATCCACCCACTGATGGTTGGATTTTATTCTATAACAATTGATTAATTGATTTGCTAGGACTATCCGACTACTTATGGTTGGACTGGATAATGCTGGAAAGACGTGTACAGCTAAATCTATTGTTGGAGAAACCTTAGATAATGTTGCTCCTACTGTAGGCTTTAATAAAGTACAACATAAATATAAGGTAACTCAAGTTTAACACAGGAGCATTGCCCGTTGGAGAAACCTTAGATAATGTTGCTCCTACTGTAGGCTTTAATAAAGTACAACATAAATATAAGGTAACTCAAGTTTAACACAGGAGCATTGCCCGTTGTGCAAGGTATGCTATACCTCAATAACTTTACGATAATGATGACCGAATTTAATTAATTTGAGTCATCGCTGAACTGCTTGCCGCGGTATTTGAATCACAAAGTCAAATCCTTCCTGACCTTCAGTAGGTGGTTGAGCGACGTTGCTTGAATTCATTTAACTCGGTCACAAGATTTTAATACAACTATATGTATTTCCAAGGTTTCCAGATAACTATTTATATTTCCAGGGTTACAAGATAACCATTTATATTTCCAGGGTTACCAGATAACGATTTACATTTCCAGGGTTACCAGATAATTATTTATATTTCCATGGTTTCCATATAGCTATTTATATTTCCAGGGTTTCCAGATACCTATTTATATTTCCAGGGTTTCCAAATAGCTATTTATATTTCCAGGGTTTCCAGATACCTATTTATATTTCCAGGGCTGCCAGATACACATTTTGTTTCCAGGGTTACCAGATAATTTTTTACATTTCCAAGGTTACCAGATAACTATTTACATTTCCAAGGTTTCCAGATAACTATTTATGTTTCCAGGGTTTCCAGATAACTATTTATGATCTGGGTGGGAGCAAAAGTTTTCGTGGAATTTGGAATAAATACTATCACGAGGTAAAATTAACCTAAAATTTAAAACAGAGATCACAGAAGAATTATTCTCTGTAAATGTGACTTGCGGCTTTATGCAGCTAAAATAAGGAATGAAATTGTCAGAAAAGGTTTGAAGGGTATCCTAGTAAATGAGACAAGACACTTTACAAATGGAGTATTTCAGTCCCTTAAGTGGACTGTAAGCATAATTTAGAGTGAACCTCCATGCAAAGACGACAAAGCCAGATTCACAACGATACTTATCAAACATTCATCTGTTCAATAATGTTGAAGATAATAACGTTATTTTTCTAGGTTAACAGTTTTATTATTAGTTTTCACTATTATAAACATTGATATACTTAATGCGAATCAGTGCATCTTCATCTTTGCATTGAGAGTGACCTGAATTACGCTTACAATCGATTCCCGTTAATTGCGAAATATCAAAACGTCTCCTAACATTTGAAATGTTGAAGTTTTTGTCTATATCTATGATAGATTATTAAAGAAATATCAAGGTAAAATATGATTTATTCTAAAAACAAAAAAGTCTCTTGATCAACCATGTGAATAGTAGAATACTAGAAACCCAATATTTTCCCAGAAGTATTAAACAAGAATGGTTAGCAATAGCAAGTTTCAGCTGTCTTTGTATTAAAACTGTGAATATCTGTTTAATATATATATATATATATATATATATATATATATTGGAGAACAATGCACATTATAGGCTTAAATTGAGAGCTAAATCTTTAATATCAAAATGGCACAAAAGAAAAATGGCCCAATTCAATTTATTGAGTATGTCCCAAAAAGTCCTAAAACAAGTTTTTTGACGAAAACGACATCAGTTTGAGAAAAGGAAAAAACGACTTAAAAACTCGTAGATTATTTTTACAATAAGAATAGTAGTGACAAAAAGTAAGCTTTGAAGAAATTGGTGTCAAATTAATATCTACTAACATTTTTTAACCCGCATATACATATATTGACATCTGTTTATTAAATACAGAAAAAAGAACAGTAAAAGAGATATTATTTTGTATATTTCAGGTTCATGGTTTAATTCATGTATTTTTTTAGTTTCTTGGTTTTATTTTGATATTTTTCATGTTCATGGTTTTATTTTTGTATTTTCATGTTCATGATTTTTGTATTTTTCATGTTCATGGTTTTATTTTTGTATTCTTTAGGTTCATGGTTTTTATTTTGTATTTTTCAGGTTCATGTATTTATTTTGATGTTTTTTAGGTTCATGGTTTTATTTTTGTGATTGATAGTTCAGATGCTTCCAGGATCCAGGAGTGTAAAGATGTTCTCAGGTGAATTGATTCTTAGCCACAAACTTAAATTTTCTAATCCATATATCTTTGCAAAATGATGATGTAATTCTTTAATCTTGAAATGCAATCGCAAGGATTTTGTTGTTGAAGAACCACAGAGAACTGCAAAAAAAAATAACAGAATTCAGTAATCCTGTAAAATTATCATATCTTGATTTTTTGTTGTTGAATAGATCCACAGAACTAGATCAGAGGACGAATTAAAAAATTTTAGCCGCGGTTTAAATTTAAGCTGCGGCTCAAAATTTGTTGTTTCCACTTAAATTTGTATTAAATGTTTCAAGACTTAAGCCGGCGCTCAATTAAAACCGGTTTTTGAGGGATTTGAGACACTGCTTAAATTCATTAAATTTAGACACTAAACTCATAATCGACCAAGGCTGATGGCTTTAAACAATTGTTTTCAAAAATTGTTTGTCCGCAAAAACTAAGCCTTTAGAATTAAATGTATTCGCATGTTTCCATGGAAATGTGTTTTTATTTTTTTTGGCGTCCACGTCATTCAAAATAAAAAAGTTATTGATTGAATTTTACGATGAAAACTAACATCTTTGGAGGATTTAGATTTTTTATGAATTTATCAATATATTTATAAAGGAATTGAGTCTTTGCCACAGACTCTGATTTACTACTCCCTATAGTTTTGCAACTCAATGTAGTAGAACTTAGATATTTCAAACTATGAAATCTGTTTAAAGTTTAAAATATTAAAAGACAAAACCGTGAAGTTGCAAAGATATAGGAATTAGAAAATTTAATTTTGTGGCAAAGAATCAATTTTTTGATTTTGATAATCTTTTATTTTTCAGGGAGATGTTGAACCATGAGCTGGTTCAAGGAAAACCTATTCTGCTTCTCTGTAATAAAAGTGAAACCTTAGATAATGTTGCTCCTACTGTAGGCTTTTAAAAACTTGAGAGGGGAAAAGAAAGGAAGTATGAGGGGTGTATAAGTTACAAGTTCAGTAATAATGTGGTTTTTATTATTGATCATGACTGCACGTGAGATTTATGGAGATTAGAAAAGCCTTGATAGATTAAAAACTAAAGAAGGCATTTTTTATCCAATTCTTATTTTTTAAGTATTAATTTTGTTGTCATGCTAAAAATAAATATCCGTGTTTAAAGGGACTGTCGTTGTATTATCAAGTGACCTTACATCTGAGGAGTGGCATTCACTACAGTGTACCTTAAACATTAAGCTTAATCAATAATGTGGAAGATAATGTTCTTTTCTACTCTGAAATGTTTTTCATTTCATCGTTTCCGAAGTAGAAATGCGCAAGTCAATTTATAGGGAAACACCATTTAAATTTAAAGAAATTTTCAAGACAAAGTTTATGGATGTACAAAAAGTCTCACTTTCCAAAGAAACCACAAGAGATAATTTTGATGTTTTTAAAGAGCAAAATAAGGATATCCCATTTATCCTTGATCATTGAAAGGTTTATCGTTGTGAATCGGACATTCAACTCTATAAAGAATATTAGAAAATTACGCCTACAGTCGACCCTTTAAGTATTTATTTGTTAGGATGAGATGGAGTTAGTCTCTCAGCTTGAAGTAGAAACACTAGTCAATGCTGCCCAGTGTCCAACAAGGTCAACACTTTAAAGGAACAGTTCTAGAAAACCACAAAAAGAAATATACTTATAAAAATTGGACCAATAAAAAAATAGAGAATACTAATGAACACCTACCTAGCTATATTTTAATATTCATAAGTATAAAGAAACTGAGCAATTTTGCCACAAACTATATTTTCTTAATTCCTATATCTTAAACAAAATTAGATATTCAAAATTCTCCTTTTTGATTTGTTAAACTAGAGCTATTATTACATCATAGAAAACACAATATTGACGACTTCTAGAATTTATGTTTCTTGGCATTCATATTTTACTTTGCAGAGTTGAGCAGTGTATTGCTAGCAAAGGACAAGGATTGAAGGAAGGATACAAATGGTTGGTTAAATCAGGTAAATTCACGGATTAAAGGAAGAATACAAATGGTTTGTTAAATCAGGTAAATTCAAGGATTAAAGGAAGAATACAAATGGTTTGTTAAATCAGGTAAATTCAAGGATTAAAGGAAATTACAAATGGTTGGTTAAATCAGGTAAATTAAAGGATTAAAGGAAGAATACAAATGGTTGGTTAAATAAGGTAAATTCAAGGATTAAAGGAAATTAAAAATGATTGGTTAAATCAGGTAAATTAAAGGATTAAAGGAAATTAAAAATGGTTGGTTAAATCAGGTAAATTCAAGGATTAAAGGAAATAAAAAATGGTTGGTTAAATCAGGTAAATTATAGGATTAAAGGAAGAATACAAATGGTTGGTTAAATCAGGTAAATTCAAGGATTAAAGGAAATTAAAAATGGTTGGTTAAATCAGGTAAATTAAAGGATCAAAGGAAATTAAAAATGGTTGGTTAAATCGGGTAAATTAAAGGATTAAAGGAAGGATACAAATGGTTGGTTAAATCAGGTAAATTCAAGGATTAAAGGAAATTACAAATGGTTGGTTAAATCAGGTAAATTCTAGGTTTAAAGAAAATTAAAAATGGTTGGTTAAATCAGGTAAATTTAAGGATTAAAGGAAATAAAAATGGTTGGTTAAATCAGGTAAATTCTAGGATTAAAGGAAGGATACAAATGGTTGGTTAAATCAGGTAAATTCAAGGATTAAAGGAAATTACAAATGGTTGGTTAAATCAGGTAAATAAAGGATTGAAGGAAATTACAAATGGAAGATAAAAAATCTAAAATTCTTTCAAAATTTAAATTATTTAAAATCTACGAAATTGAGAAATTATGTAAGTTTTAAACTTTAATGGAATGAATATTTTATCAGTGGTCGGGCACCAAGTCAGTTAAATATTTCATGTTCTCTAAAAATTACACAGGATGAAACGAAAGATATTTCACGTTGTATAAAAAAAATACAAATTGGATTGGAGCTGCTTTTTCCGACTGATTGAGGAAGAATAATTCTTTTTAAAATATTCTGAATGGTTCGGATAAGATTCTATTTTTCATAATTCAGTTATCTCAAAGTTCGTGGATATCGAGGGACGGGTGGTGAAGGACTCCGAGAAAGAGAATAAGAAGGAGGAGGTGAGGAGGGAGAATGCCAGGAGAAGGATTGAGGAGAAGAGAAGGTTGCAGGAGCAGGAAGAGGAGGGAGAAGGAGAGGAAGCATCAAATTCAGGTGAAATTGAGTGACTTGTCAACATTAAGAACCTTTTACTTTTACGTAAAATCCTTCAAATATCAAATTTAGATAAATCTGCAAAAAAAAACTTAAATCGATTAGAAGATCGCAATGATTAGTATTTTTTTTTATGAATCTGTCAATTTTTAAGAAGTAAAATGCGTTCGTCGTTTTGTATCATTCTACGTTTTGTTTTTAATAAATTTTTTGACGTTTTGTTTTCCACAACTTTGATTTATAGTACAAAAGTTTTGATCTCCATATATCTTTGCAACCCAATGTCGTTGACCTTGGATATTTCAAACCATGAATTCTGTTATCTCAAATAAAGTTTGAAATATAAAAGGTTTACACAATCAGGTTGCAAAGATACAGGGGTTAGAAAATTTGAGTTTGTGGCAAAAACTCAATTCTTTTAATTTATGATTGTAGAAGATATTTGTCCTCCTGGATTTGTTCCGCTTGATGATCTTCGAAAACGCTGGTCAACTCAGGATAATCCAGTCTCAGCAGCCTCTAATCTGTTCAGTAATGGGGGCAAAGCTGTCTCGAATCAGTTCAGTAATGGGAACATATCAACCTCTAATCTGTTCAGTAATGGGGGCATGGTAGGATTTTTATACATTCTCGTATACATAGTGGGAACCAGAACACAGTCGAATTATGATGGTCTATTTTTCTTTAATTATGAAATGGATTCTGTAATTTGCAAATAAACTTTTTCTAGAAAATATTGCCCTGAACAATCTAAGGGCTCAGGGGTATGTCAATAGTGGTAATTTATAAAATTCCTCAGCGATATTTAACTCTTAATTAAACGTAAGTGCAAAGATTACATTCAGTTCACAGTTTTCTGTTTCCCACTGTAAAAAAAAGGAGCTGATGACCTCACTCAAACTCCAATTTTGTCAATCTTATTATATCTTTGCAACCTGATATATTAGACCCATGCTATTTCAATCTGTTATAGTCTTATAGACCGATCAGTTCAAGTATAAAATATCAAAGTGTACACCATCAGGTTACAGAAATATCTGAATTATAGAAAATTAAAGTTTGAGTCGAGTAATCAGTTCCTTTGCGTATGCGATATTAAGAAATATTTTGAATGCATCAATCTGCTTTGATATTTGAAATCTCTTAAGCAAAATATTTTTGTTCTTCTTTGTAATCAAGGAGCATGGAATATATAACCAGGAACTACCATTTTTTTGTTTACATAAAAGTATATTGCAAAAGTTAGAAGAGCACTGTACGTAGATTGTTTAGATTACTCTCATGGAGTCTACAGTACTGCACTTTTTATTTAAACCAAAGTGTGGAGGTTTCTGATACAACTATATAGGCCTTGTCAAGGAATATAAAAATATAAGACGACATTTTAAATTTCCCGATTTCTACTTTCTACTTCTAGACGGAGAAGGTTAGGAACGGAAACAGTTCTCCTAATGGAACACACTTTTCTCAGCTCAGGGAGGAGTTTAATTCTTCATTTGCAAATTGTAATAAATTATAACTTATCCAAAAACTATATTAAATCTCTAAAACCCTTAAACCCTTGTTGAAACTCCTCGTAAACCCAAAACCCCCTGACCCCTCCCTGGTCCCTGAACCCCTAAACACCCCTTAAAGATTAACCCCCTGGACCCCTCTGAAATACTCCTCGTAAAACCCTAAACCTGAAACCTCCCTACCCCCCGCCCCTATCTGAGCCCTGCAACCCCCCTTGAAATCATAATCCCCCCTTGAAGATAGATTAACCCTCTGGTCTTCAGATTGTCAGATCTTCCAATAAATGGTTCCAACGGGAAACTAGAACTGGAACCAATACACAGGAACAATATATAGATTAAACTTTTATTCAATAAATCAATCTGAGAAAACCAGTGCAGATGCAGCTTAACAACTTCTCTTGTTCAACCATGTCTCGCAATACATTCAATCTGGTCCAAAGCATTTCTAGATGAAAAAAATTCTTTAATGTTATTTTAAAAAAGTAGCTGAACTAGGAATTACAAGTTGAATTATTTTTCGCATACATCAACTCAATACATCAACTCAATACATCAACTCAATACATCAACTCAATTGACATATTTTTTTTTAAATCACACTTTTATTCTTAAAGCATCTTACACTGATACAATGATCGGAAAACTTATTTGTTTTTTCTTCAAAAAAAAAATTTAAAAATAATTAACTTCGGAAAACATATTTCCAAAATCAAATATTTTATCCATTTACATATCAAAACTATCAATACAAATTTCAAATACAAGAATTGTGTTAAAAGTGCACTGACGTTAATTTATATTGTTGCTGATTAGGCCAAAAAAGCGTAGTCTGCTCTCCAAACTACAAAAAACGAATACAGAAATTAAATCTATAAAATCAATAGACAGTCAGGTAATCATAGAAAAGATGGGGAAATTGGAAGCGGGGAAGAATAAAATAAATATAGTGTTTAAATTTTTCTCTACTTCCAAACTTGAATAAAAACAGTAAAGTATCTATAACGCATTCATAATTTTTATTTAGTTATAAACAACGTTTAGTCAAACCGTAAACAAGAAATAAGTTTAAAAGAATGAAAATTAATGTTTAGATATCGCAGGCCTGGAGTACGGCAGAAGATCGAGGCGGAATAAGAAATTGGGGACTGGCGGAGGAATTATAAAAAGTGGAGTAAGAAACTGAGGACTGGCTCAGGATTTTTGATGAGTTCAGTTAGAAAATATAGGGTACTGGTGGAGGATTTATGAAGGGTTGAATTAGGAATCGGGGTACTGATGGAGGATTTATGAAGGGCGGAGTTAGGAAATGGGGGACTGGTGGAGGATTTATTAAGGGCTGAGTTAGGAACTGGGGGACTGCAGGTGGAGGATTTATGAAGGGCGGAGTTAGGAAATGGGGGACTGGTGGAGGATTTATGAAGAGTGGAGTTAGGAACTGGGAACTGGTGGAGGATTTATGAATTTATGAATTGCGGAGTTGGGACTGGTCGGACTGGCGGAGGATTTATGAAGGGTTGAGTTAGAAGATTTGGGACCGGGTTATGAAGGGTGGCGGAAGAAACTGGGTACTGTTGGAGGATTTTTTAAGGGCTTTGTTAGGTACTAGGGTACTGGAGAAGGATTTTTGAAGGGTTGAGTTGGAAACAGGGACGGGCGGAGATTTATGAAGGGTGAAGATAGAAACTAGGACTGGCGGAGGATATATGAATGGCGGATCTAGAAACCTATAGGGACTGTTGGAGGAAATATGAATGGAGGATTTAAAAACTAGGAACTGTGGGAGGATATATGAAGGGTAGAGTTCCCATCTTCTGGACTGGTGGAGGATTTAAGAAGAGTGGAGCTGGGAACGGGGAATCGACTGGCGGAGGATTTATAAATGGCGGAGTTAAGAACTGGGAAATGCCAATTTTAAGTATGATTATAAGACTACACTAGTACACCCAACACTGCAGATATGTTCAATAAAAATAAAAAATTTAACATGAAATATGTATTATCTAACCAGTACTTACAAGTTTTTTGTACAAATAAATTCATTATGTTAAATGCACAATTTTGTTATTTTAATTTAATAAGGATGATTTTCTAGGAATTTCTAAAAAATTGCATGTTTTCAGAATGTTTTATAGAGGAAAAGAAACTGCCTTAACATTTAGTCCTTTTCCTACTGGGGTGCATTAACATTTAGTCCTATTTCTACCGGGGTGCCTGAATATTTAGTCCTATTCCTACTGGGGTGCCTGAATATTTAGTCCTATTCCTACTGGGGTGCCTGAATATTTAGTCCTATTCCTACTGGGGTGCATTATTATTTAGTCCTATTCCTACTGGGGTGCCTGAACATTTAGTCCTATTCCTACTGGGGTGCCTGAATATTTAGTCCTATTCCTACTGGGGTGCCTGAACATTTAGTCCTATTCCTACTGGGGTGCCTGAACATTTAGTCCTATTAAACATTTTTCCTTTTTTTATTTTTTTGTCGGCATACGCGTTTTAACAAAAAAGTATATAATGACAAAATCTTAAGTTTAAAGATTGTTTTATTATATACCAACACGTGATTCAAATATAAGAAACCAAATGCATCTCACCCTGGTTAGTTTGGGGTGACTGGGGTGCCTTAACATTTTGACATACCTCAAAATTTACTGGTCTTGGGCTGTTCAAACTTTTCTAACTAACCTATAAATGCCCATCACTTCAGGTTTAAAGCTGGACTTTAATACCAACTGCCAGATTCCTCAGGCATGCTGCTTGAATGCCTTACTTAACCAATTTTAGACAAATTTTATATTTACATTCACTTCCAGTCATTACATTTCGAAGTTTTTATAACAATTTACAATTACAACAGTTTACAATTAAAAAAAGTATTCTATCCACATTAATTAAAACAACTAATAACAACTAATCCTCTGATTTCTTTACTTAAAAATTAATTTTTAGTGTATATTTTTACAAGAGTATTAAATAATTTGAAAAGTTAAACACTAAATGGGCAAAACCCTGCATTCATACAAGTTTTCAGAAATATATATGCAGAAGACAGAAAGAGATGGTCCAAGGAATTGAGTTTAACTGTCACAAACTCAAATTTAAGGACACTAATATCTTTGCAACCTGATGGTGTAATCATTTTTTCTTCAAACTTAGACTATTTGATCTAAAAGAATTAAAAGCCTGAAATATCAAAGGTGTATATAATTAATTTGCTAAGGTAAAGAGATAAAAAAAATCAGGACTTGTGGCAAAAAATCATTTCCTTCGCGTGACATTATTGGTGTAAAGCAAATTTTAGAAATAAAAAGAAGCTGAACTGCGTGGAGTAAGTTCAACCTTTACTCTATAACTCTAAGCAGATCCTGAACCAGAAAAATATTCTAAAACTAATTTACATTTTTCTCAAGATTAAAGGAATAAAAGAATGAATTAAGTTGAAAAGAAAGATTTAAAAGATTAGGCATGCGTTGTAATCAGAGTTTCCGGTTTATTCAGCTTTTAGAGTTCCAACATCCAGTCGTTAAATAATTCTATAATAAACTAAATATATTCATTTCAGGGCATTCAACGTTCAACATTGTTAAAAAAAATGAAGATTTAGATGATGTTTTAACGTTTCTAATAAACTTTAAAATTAAAGAATAATTTACAATGCTCAAGAAATGATAAAGCTTAACTTTAATTGAAAATTTTAAATTAAAATGTTTTAAATGCTTAAAAATGTGCCGTACCCTTCTCTTCTATATGAATTATACTGGGGCATATCTCACCTAGTAGCTACAAATCTCTTATATTCAATTTGTATATACTATTCTTATATTCGGAAACCATGTGTATATACTATTCTTATATTCGGAAAACATGTTTATATACTATTCTTATATTCGGAAACCATGTGTATATACTATTCTTATATTCGCAAACCATGTTTATATACTATTCTTATATTCGGAAACTATGTTTAAACACTATTCTTATATTCGGAAACTATGTTTATATACTATTCTTATATTCGGAAACTATGTTTAAACACTATTCTTATATTCGNTGTTCATAATCCCATCTTATATTTGTAAACCATGTTAATAATCCCATCTTATATTTGTAAACCATGTTCATAATCCCATCTTATATTTGTAAACCATGTTAATAATCCCATCTTATATTCGCATACCATATTTACATACTATTCTTATATTCGTAAACCATGTTTATAATCCCATCTTATATTCGCAAACCATGTTCAAGACCCCATCTTATATTAACACATCCTGTTCATAATCTCATCTTATATTCATAAACCGTGTTTATAATCCCATATCATATTCGCACACATTGTTCATAATCCCATCTTATATTCGCAAATCCTATTCATAATCCAATCTTATATTCGAACCCATGTTCATAATCCCATCTTATATTTGCACACCATGTTCATAATCCTATCTTCTACTCGCAAACCATGTTCATAATCCCATCTTATATTTGCACACCATGTTCATAATCCTATCTTCTACTCGCAAACCATGTTATAAATACTTTAGGCTCGTGTGCACACTGAATATTTACACACATAACTCAGCAGGGATTAATACACTCTTCAATAAATTCTAAGATTTTATTTTGATTCCAATTTTAAATATGCAACCAATTAAAAAAAAAACGTTTAAAAACGTTGATATTTTAAGACTCCCCCCCCCCCTGGTGATGGTTAAGCTAAAGACGGTTGGTTTCAGTTCGTGTTCGTTGCTCCAGGTGGGAGCATTGTATAGGCAGTGATACTTAAATATATTTATATAAACAGAATATAGATAAATTAGATATATATACATATACATATATAGACGGACAAATCACACGGAGAGATTAAACTTTTTGTTGTTGATGGAATAATATTGGACTGATAAATTGATGTATTGCAGGTTCGAGTGATTATTGATTAATAATCCATGTTTTGGGGTGGAACCGATGATCAAAATATTTAGTTTTGGTTGGACGGATAAGATTAGGTTATGTAATCGGACGGATAAGTCCAGTATTGCTTATTTGGATAAGTCAATGAAGTTTAGGCTGGAATCATGTATAATATATAGTGATGGGGAAACGGATAAGTTTATATTGTGAAAATGAAATTAGATAAGATGAGTTCAAAAGTGTGGGTGGGACGGATAAATTCAGTTAGTGCAGGACGTAGTTAAGCTGGATAAGACTATGCATGTGCTGTCTGTATCATGTGGTGTGTGCTATAGAATGAATAAGTTTATTTATAGTGTGAGTAGAAGGGATAAGTTCATGTAGTGTGAGTAGATGGGATAAGTTCGTGTAGTGTGGGTAGAAGGGATAAGTTTATGTAATGTGGGTAGAAGGGATAAGTTTATGTAATGTGAGTAGAATGGATAAGTTCAAGTAGTGTGAGTAGAAGGGATAAGTTCATGTAGTGTGAGTAGAAGGGATAAGTTCGTGTAGTGAAGGTAGAAGAGATAAGTTTATGTAATGTGAGTAGAATGGATAAGTTCAAGTAGTGTGAGTAGAAGGGATAAGTTCATGTAGTGTGTGTAGAATGGATAAGTTCATGCAGTGTGAGTAAAAGGGATAAGTTCGTGTAGTGTGAGTAGAAGGGATAAGTTTATGTAGTGTGAGTAGGAGGGATAAGTTCATGTACGGTGAGTAGGAGGGATAAGTTCATGTAGTGTGGGTAGAAGGGATAAGTTTATGTAATGTGAGTAGAATGGATAAGTTCAAGTAGTGTGAGTAGAAGGGATAAGTTCATGTAGTGTGAGTAGAAGGGATAAGTTTATGTAGTGTGAGTAGGAGGGATAAGTTCATGTAGTGTGAGTAGAAGGGATAAGATCATGTAGTGTGAGTAGGAGGGATAAGTTCATGTAGTGTGAGTAGAAGGGATAAGTTCATGTAGTGTGAGTAGAAGGGATAAAGTAGCATTTTCTTATATATTGTAACACTCAATCTATATATAAATTTGGCTTGTTTGTTTGGGTGTCTGTCTGTTTGTTTGTATCCAATAAACGTCAAAACGGCTGACCGGTTTATGATGAATGATAAAAAAAAAAAAATGTGTTTTAAAGGTTTTTAATTTTGTAAAAAAAAATAATTCTTGAAAATCCGCGATTTTTTTTTAAAAATCCGCAAAATTTTTTTCTTCTTTGTTTTAAAATGTAAACAAAAAGAACATGTTCACAATTTAAATCAAAGATGGGCGCGAAGCGCCCTGAAAGCCGAGAAAGAAGGGCGCGAAGCTCCTTGAATTTTTAGTATATTATATTAAAATACTGAAAAGGGATTGAGTGTTTGCCACAAACTCTATTATCTCAGCAACCTGATGGTGTTAACGTTTGATATTTCAAACTTAGATTATTTTATCTATAAGTATTAATAGTTTGAAATATCTAAGGTCTACGACATTGGGTTCCAAAGATATAGAATTTAGAATATCAGAGTTTTTGGGAAAAATTCAATTACTTTAGTTTTCGATCGTTTGATAATCTTCATAAAGGCTAATAGGGAGGATAGATTGCTCTATAGAGTAGGTGGAAAGGACTACTCCGTATACTGTATTGCGTAGGTCGGACAGGCTTGGTTGAATCTTCTTCATTATTATCAATGTTCACACATGTTTAATGCTTAAACATAATACGTAAAAACCAAGATCTGAAGGTTTAGTTCTTCCCGCTGCATGGACTAAAATTCTGTTTTTATTTTATACTAGGCCAGACACTACGATATATTTGGGTTCTCAATTGCATAAACTGTGCGATAATCTCTGCAAAATCAAGTAAATTAGGTCAAAACAGTATTTTCCAAATTTACTTGTTGATTGAAAGCACAACGAAGTGGGAATTCAAATAGTAATAAGGCCTGTAGACGTAATTTCACGTGACCTTAAGTGACATGTCCGATGTAAAACGGTACCCCTCAATCGTAAACCTTTAAATGATCAACAAATAGGAAGATATCGTCGCATTTCTAACATCTAAAAGTGTTAACTTCTGACGCTCCAAGACTGCAATATTCCGCAAGTCACTTACAGCGAGCAGCAGCATCTATAATCGAAAATAATAATTTTTTAAATAGAAAAAGAGGAAGTCCTGCATCGGACATGCCATGGTTTAAATGGAGGTTCACTTAAAAATACGCCTGTAGTTCCTTTCAGAGGAGCCAATCACTAATACTTTTTGGCTTGATGGAACTTTACTCAGGTATGATAATAAACCAGAAATGTATTACTGATTTATTCGAAAAAACAACTATCATACCACATTTTTTGGTTTTTATAAACTATAGCTATGTACTTTGTACATTGTACACTATTTCATACTATTTATATGAAAAATAGTTAATTAGCATTTACACGATGGTGCTTATTGTATAAGACCAAATTTAACCTTTAGAACTTGGTATTTCAAGAGTTTCTAGTCGTTATTCAACTCCTTTCATGTTAAGAAACCCATGTAATCACAATCTTAACTCACAAATATGTTTGATGTATCTAAATTGTACTTCAAATTGCAATGCTATATTTATTGCGTAAGCGAAAATTCTAAGTGGAAACGTTTAGCACAACAAACATGATAATAATTCATGATTTATCTTGCGTAATTTTAGTTCTCATGAGGATACGGAAGCGTAGTTTACGCAAGTTTACGCCATTATCCCCGAGATACTCCTCTTCGTGAGAAAATACGGAGAAATAAATTCAATTGAATATTTGCCTGGTTCACAAGAATACGGAATTTATGTTTCTTAAAAATCGTTTAGATATTTATATCTATATATATATATAGATATATATATATAAAGTAGTAATCTCTGTTTGTTTGTATGTCCGATCATAACTCAGGAACCCCTTGACTGATTTTCCTCAAATGTTGATAAGGGGAACTCTGTAGGACCACGGGAATGTTCTTAGCTTGGTTTAAGAGTTCTTAGTTGAACAGGTTAACTCTTTAAAAGAAAAATTAGTTTCCAGGCAAAGCTTGGTTCCCAAGTTAGTAAATTATGAACCCCTTGTCTGATTTGCCTAACATTTGTATAAGGGAACTGGGAAGAACCACAGGAATTCTATAGGTGGAGCAGGATGAATGTTAAAGCGAAATTTTAGCTTCCAAGAAAAGCTGGGTTCCCAGAGCTAGTATATTATACACTCTTTCAAATCGATATGTTTAAGAGTAGTTTTAATTATGGAAAGTTGAACTCAAGTACTTTTCATATGCATATTAAATATTATACATGGCTGTCTTACTTATGTTAAGTGGACTTACAGTACACAATCTCAAACTAAATATATTTTTATTTTTTTAAAATTTAATTTCCAGAAGAAAAATGAAAGGCTATGCAGTCTCATCAGAAACAAAGTAAGTAAAAATAAAGTGAATATAATGAAAAATAGGTTTACGTGTATATAGAACCAAACGTCGCACGTCAAACTAAAGTAAAATTGCCTGCACGGGAGATTGAAATCTTAATTTTTTCAATAATAACTCCTCTCAATATTGAAGAGCTATTTTGAGATTACAAACCTGTTTTCAATTACTGTTATATAAGTGTAAGCGGATAAAATTATATTTTCTCATACTTGTGTGTAAATTTATAAATAGAGAAGCTGTGCCAGTGATGAATTATGAATAAATTAGTCTCAGTTTGAAATAACAAAGGTGTACATATCATCAGATTGCAAAGATATTGAGATTAGAATATTAGAGTTTGTAGTAAGTGTTTAGTTTTCTTTATTTAGTCTATATGGATTCTTTGTTCTGTAGGACACCCTATGTATAAATCTAGTTGTATGTACTTTAGGACACCCTACATATAAATCTGGTTGTATGTACTGAAGAACACCCTATGTATAAATCTGGTTGTATGTAATGTAGGACACCCTATATAAATCTGGTTGTATGTACTGTAGGACACCCTATATATAAATCTGGTTGTATTTACTGTAGGACACCCTATATATAAATCTGGTTGTATGTACTGTAGGACACCCTATTTATAAATCTGGTTGTATTTACTGTAGGACACCCTATATATAAATCTGTTTGTATGTACTGTAGGACACCTTATATATAAATCTGGTTGTATGTACTGTAGGACACCCTTTATATAAATCTGGTTGTATGTACTGTAGGACACCCTTTATATAAATCTGGTTGTATGTACTGTAGGACACCCTATATATAAATCTGGTTGTATGTACTTTGTTGGAATTATTCAAGGATTGACGAGGATATATTTTACTTCGGACTCACTGGAGCTTAAACAGTTTATTCAAGTCGATACAGTTCTACAATTAACAGGCAGATTCAAAATTACATCAAATTTAATTTTGATTTTATGTACAGTTTTTAGAAACTTTATTCAATGCTGGTAATGGTAGAATTTATAATTTAAAAAGCACACAAAAAACATGAAGTCTTATAGGTCAGAAAATCTCCGTAAAGATAATTAATTTAATGGCATAAAATACCTTAAATTTTTGCAACCTGATAACGTAGACTTTTGATATTTTAAACAAAAAATTTTGCGAAATCAAATAGACTAAGTTTTGAAATATTAAAGGTTGCCATGCCACTATAGGCTAAAAAATATAAAAAATTAAAAAACTAGAGTTTGAGACAAATACTTAGGTCCTTTGATCGAGTGATTAAAAAGTTAGAAATAGCAATATTATATATTTTCTGAAGGCTGCGTATTATAAAAATGGATTTTTAAAGTTTTCTGTTCAACGAATGTCACTGGAAAGTTTCCTAGATTAGTAGTTGAAGCATAAACCATGAGTTCTGAAGGTCTCCAAGGTTTAAATCAAGATACACTGAGAATTAAAATTGTAATTATTTAATAATTCTATTTACAATTATGTATACGCAGAATTAGGCATTACGAATTAATGGGATACCCCCTACTTCCCAACTTACCGACAAGGTCCCCCCCCCCACCCCAGAGCTCAGCTAAAATAAAAATTAACTTTCAAAACTTTTATCTTTTTCTTTATCTTCTCTTTTCTCAAAAGTTCTTATACTTTCTATAAGTTAAACTGTACACTGTACGATCCGATTTACAATTGTACAATTTTAACCTTTATTTAAGCATCATTTTAGAGATACTGTTAAATATTTTGCTAGGATATAAAGAAAGGACTTATTATTCATTCGGGATCAGGCCACAGTTTAAAGGGTATCGTTGTGAGTCAAACATAACGCTCTATATTCTAGAGTCACTAAATTATACGTTTTCAGTCCCTTCAATAAATGGATAAAATATTTAACTATGAAGAAAGGGCCACGCTGTATGTAAAGCCTATAGACTCATGAAAGGATAAAGAACGGGTTGATGAGCTTAACCTTTTGTTGGATGCACACTGCACAGTGCATCGTGGAGATATAAACGCTAAAAGTGCAAACTTAACCCTGAGAGTCCGAACCATACAATAAGACCCATGTATAATGTAAAGGATTCCTAGATAAATTTTTCTTGGCCAATGTCCATGGCGTAATCTGTAAAAAGTGCAAGCAGCTTATTAACATTAACATAATGTTCTCATCCCAGCTTAATAACATTAACATAATGTTCTCATCCCAGCTATATTGTTGGTAAAACCCAATAATGTAGAAAAGGATGAATAAATGATACAAGGTTACCCTAAAAGAATGAAACTTTATTGACGACCTGTAAATCTAAAGGTTAAATGAATGTAAGTAAATGACTGAATACTTTCTGCACAGTCGTGTCTCTGAAGTTTCATCCTTTGTGAGTAATCCTGTTCTTTAATGACAACATTATTTTATGGTCCAGCGTTTATTGAATACAAATTATTTTCTTTAAATATTCCACCATATCACACACTATAGAGTTATGGTTATAAGAATAAAAATATTTGGTTTATATACAGGGTATCCAACGAAACATGACAGTTGGTGAAAATTTTAAAATGTCTTCTTCCATAATTTTATAAGCTGTTCGATACTAAAGAGACTAATGACATTTTTTATATGACAGTTATATTATAGTAAAATTGATTTCACAGTAAAATAAATATGCGTTAAACATTTTTTTAAAGAAATAAACTACAATAAGTCTTTAATATATAATACAGTATGTGGAAGAAGATATTCAAAACTATTTACCAACTGACATGTTTCGTGGGACACCCTGTATCTAAATATGTGTGTAATTTGTGGTAGATATAATATATATGTATAACAGTTATATTAGGTATAATATTATTTGTTTTATTGCTCAAATACAAGATTTAGGATTGTCAGATTTACGATGGTTATTAGTTTATCCATTTATTTCCTTGTATTCTGAAATGTGGTTTGCTATCATGAGACAGTAAAATGTCGTCTTCGTCATTCTTTAAATGAAGATTTTTCAGTACAGAAATGTACGTATCATCTTGTACATATATGTACAGGAAAGGTTGCCTGGTATACCTGGTATTCGGTACAGTGGATATATGTACAGGAAAGGTTGTCTGCTGTACCTGGTATTATATACAGTGTATATATGTACAGGAAAGGTTGCCTGCTGTACTTAGTATTCTGTACAGTGTATATATGTACAGGAAAGGTTGCCTATTGTACCTGGTATATTGTACAGTGTATATATGTACAGGAAAGGTTGTCTGCTGTATCTGTTATTATGTACAGTGTATATATGTACAGGAAAGGTTGTCTGCTTTACCTGGTATTAAATACAGTGTTATGTACAGGAAAGGTTGCCTGCTGGGCCAGGTATTTAATACAGTTTTATGTACAGGAAAGGTTGCCTGCTGTACCTGGTATTCTGTACATTGTATATACGTACAGGAAAGGTTGCCTGCTTTACCTGGTATTAAATACAGTGTTATGTACAGGAAAGGTTGCCTGCTGGACCTGGTATTAAATACAGTGTCTATATTTACAGTAAAGGTTGCCTGCTGTACCTGGCATTCTGTACAGTGTTATGTACAGGAAAGGTTGCCTGCTGTACCTAGTATTCTGTACAGTGTTATGTACAGGAAAGGTTGCCTGCTGTACCTGGTATTCTGTACAGTGTATATATTTACAGGAAAGGTTGCCTGCTGTACCTAGTATATTGGTCAATGTATATATATTTACAGAAAAGGTTGCCTGCTGTACCTGGTATTCTGTACAGTGTTATGTACAGGAAAGGTTGCCTGCTGTACCTAGTATTCTGTACAGTGTTATGTACAGGAAAGGTTACCTGCTGTACCTGGTATATTGTATAGTGTATATATATTTACAGAAAAGGTTGCCTGCTGTACCTGGTATTCTGTACAGTGTATATATGTACAGGAAATGTTGCCTGCTGTACCTGGTATTCTGTACAATGTATATATGTACAGGAAAGGTTGCCTGCTGTACCTGGTATTCTGTACAGTGTCTATATGTACAGGAAAGGTTGCCTGCTGTACCTGGTATTCTGTGGATGTATTCTGGCAGGCCTGGGTGCTATGACCTGTGTGCTCTACTGGAAACTAGGATTTGACGGAGGAAAATATCATCATTTTATTAATTATATATATTTAAACTTGAAAAATGAGAAAAAAAATTTAGCGCCAAAATTTTAATTTAAAATGACACTCTTTCATCATTGTCTTTGTTCACCCTCAAATCTGAATGAGTTATGAGATAGCTGTTCTTTTCTAATTTGTTAAATACAATAACAATTGCCTAATGACAGCTCTGAGACGATTTACTCTGTCACTTAATTCTCCTGTTAAATGAGACGCAAAAATCACTTTTTTTTGCCAATTTTTTTATTTTTTTTTGGTAATCCTCTAAATACCCTTTATTCCTAAATAACAAGACCTCAAATATCTAGTTTTTTTGTGAATCTAATAAAAATAATTTAATCTTTTCCACGAATTAGAATTTCTTAATTCCTATATCTTTGCAACGTTTGTTATTTCAAACTTAAGTTATTTGCATTAACAGAACTCATGAATTTGAAATATCAAAGGTCTACACGACGTTGTTTTGCACAAATATAGGGATTAGAAATTTAGAGTTTTTGAAAAAGAAAAAATGTCTATGGCTTAAATCTACATAAGGCATGAACAGAATATTATTCTTTCTTTTGATTAAATAAATTAAATTAAAGTTTTAATTTAAATGAATTTTAAACAGGAGTTGCTTGGCGAGATAATCCAGCAAAACAGTTTGCATGGCATCCAATCCTACTTACCCTTAGTATTGTTTTAAGTAAGTTAAATAATCCTACTTACTCTTAGTATTGTTTTAAGTAAGTTAAACAATCTTACTTACTCTTAGTATTGTTTTAAGTAAGTTAAACAATCTTACTTACCCTTAGTATTGTTTTAGGTAAGTTAAACAATCTTACTTACCCTTAGTATTGTTTTAAGTAAGTTAAACAATCATACGTACCCCTTAGTATTGTTTTAAGTAAGTAAACAATCTTACTTACTCTTAGTATTGTCTTAAGAAAGTTAAACATTTTTACTTACCCTTAGTATTGTTTTAGTAAGTTAAACAATCTTACTTACTCTTGGTATTGTTTTAAGAGGTTAAACAATCTTACTTACCCCTAATCTTATTTACTCTTAGTATTGTTTGAAGTAATTTTAACAATCTTATTCACTCTTAGTATTGTCCTAAGTTTTAAGTAAGTTTAACCATATATTTTATCTACTCTTAGTTTGTTTTGGTATTTCTAAACCTATAATATTTGTACATTTATGTATAGGTAGAATAGGTGGAACACTGTATAAAGTGCTGAATATTTCTAAACCTATAATATGTATATTTATGTATAGGTGGAATAGGAGGAACACTGTATAAAGTGCTGAATATTTCTAAACCTATAACTAAATCAATTCATGCAATTCTAATGATTCTAGCTGCAGGTATAGTCAAACTTAATCTTAGATTAAAATTTAAAAAAAAAATTTTTAAATGTCTGATCTTGTATTTCTACTTAAATGTTTTTCACATAATTTCAAGTTTAATTTATCTAAACCCCTAACTACAACCTAAACCATATTTGTTAAAACAGAATGTAATAATACAAAAGACGGTTAAACATTATTTCCTACAGCGTAGCTTTAATTGAAAATTTATTTGAATATTACTTGTTTGATAGATTAAATAAATAATTGATTTATCTAATACATGTTTGATGTATTCATTTTTTTATTTTTTTAAATTCATTTCTTTTATTAGATTTTATTTATAATTGATTTATAAATTACTTTCTTGATGATAAGATTATTAATTAATTTATAAATCAATTGCTTTATAGATTGGATTCATAATTGATTTATAGGTTAATTAATTGCTAGGATTGATTATTGATTATTTATTTATCCATTCACTGCTTAAGTATGATATATTTTTGTTTGATTGTTTTTGTCGATATTAATTGACAAATCTTTCGATGTCATAGATCAATAGAATTAGATAAAAATAATTAATATATTTATTAAGCGAGTGGAGCAATTGGACTGTGGGCAGTCATCGATTCTCACAATTTTGCATCTCCGCCAATTCCAAACTTTTTCAGGTTATTGATTTTTCTTTGTTTATTTTTTTTTATAAAAAATCTTTTCTAGAATCTTTTATTTCTTATGATAAATTGAAAATTTTTAATTTAATTTAATTTAATATTTTGCAGTTTGCACTCCTGGGTTGGTATCAGTGTGCTTGCTGTTCTTGGTTTACAGCTCCTGTTCGGTTTAATAATACTCCTGTTTCCTATTCCTAGCTCTAAAAAAGCAGGATTTATGCCTCTTCATAAATATTTTGGAATTCTCGTATTCGTGGGCTCCGTCGCAGCAGCCATCATAGGTTAGTTGCTAATCTTGTTTCTACTGTTTCTACATGTAAAAATGAAATAATAATTTGTGGGTGCCTTGGTGATTAATTGTTTTGCTGTCTAATAATAACTTTTGAAACCCATTTGACCTATTTGCATCAATTTTGATGAGGAATTCTTAGCTTGATTTGCACATTTTAAGTTAGGTCAACTTTTACAGTTGGGTTTCCATGCTCCTTCTAAATAAAGTAATGTAAAATGACATAACATTATATTGAGTTAAAGTTCGAAATATACAGAAACTGCTGTTTATTCTGAACTTCAATATGGTGTGGCCTAAACAAACTTTATAAATTTAACTGTTATATGGCTTTACATATTACTGTCGATTTTTAATAAAACCAAGCGTACACTTGACAAATTTTTATTAAAGAAAAGGTTAAACTGTCTAAATCATTTTTTTAAATTAAAGATAGAGTTTTCCCCATTAAACACGATAATTTGTGGAAAGTTTTTAAAATTCACCATATTAATGGGTTATTCAACAATTGTGCAATATCAAATAATAATACTGAAAAATGTTAAACAAATCTCTGCTAAATCGAAGATGGATTCTCGAACTATTATTGGTTTCTGGTTTCTAGTTTTATTGTTCATTCTTGATTTTATTGTTTTACTCTCCGACTTGCACGTTTGGTTGCGGAAATAAAACTTCTTCTTTTTTCCAACCGAAGAGTTGGAAAATAACGTGTTTGTGATTTCTATTCTTTTATTTGTCCCAGATTTGGAAGTTTTAATTTTTCAAACTTTTGCGTTTATGGATGCTTTCTGTGTTTATGTTTTTTTAATCTAGATTTATAAATCATTTCCGGCCATTTTGTACAAGTTTTGATTTTCTCAACCTAGCAATCTGACAGATCTTTACATTTTCTGGGCATGCAAAGATTCAGAGAAGTTTTCTTTGGAACTAAAAATTTTCAAGTTTCGAATAGAGAAATTTAAGATTAAAAATAAAACAAAACCATGACTATATCTATATAATAAAACAAGACATATAGGTGGTGTATAGCCGGCCAAACGGCTGGACCGATTGGGATGAATTTTTTTTTTGACAGTCATGGGTGGCCGGGGGGGTGATATAGGCTAAAAAAATCGGAATTTTTTGCATTTCAACATTTAAAAAAAAATGTTATTTTTTTTCTACGGGCAACGCCGGGCCCTTCAGCTAGTTTAACCATGTTGTTTAAAAAAAGACACAAATAATTAAATTGAAAATAAAGAAAACTGCAAGATGAAATCATTACTGATTTTGTCCTCTGCTAAGAAAGTTTTAGGGGTTTAAAGAAAATTTTGAGTTTTGGGTCAACGGGATTGACCGGCAAGGTAGGGTACATGAACCAAGAGTGTAACATTATATAATGAATATTAGGATTCATTTCATACAATAAGATGTTTTATTTTCTAACACTGCACTTACAGCTACTATCCTACAGGGTGTCCCACGAAACATGACAGTTGGTGAATAGTTTAAAATGTCTTCTTCCATAATTTGATAAGTTGTTTGATACTGAAGAGACTAACAACATTTATTATATGACAGTTATATTATAGTAAAATTTATTTCACAGTAAAATATATATGAGTTAAACATTTTTTAAAAGAAATAAACTGCAAAAAGTCTTTAATATCTAATACAGTATGTGAAAGAAGACATTCAAAACTATTTACCAACTGTCATGTTTCGTGGGACACGCTATACCTTGCCGGTCACTAACTCAAACAAAAGCACATAAAGGAAATTTTGTTGTCTTTATAACATTGTTTGAAGAAAAACAAACACAAAATTTGAAGGAAATTGGAAATTATCAAAATCAATATCAAAATTAAAGTTTTAGTATTGCATCGATACCTAAATACCTAATACCGAAATACCTAAATACACAAACACACCCAAATTTTGTACGCTCAGCAGTAAGGAGCCATATAAGTTACAAATTAATACTGCATTGCTGTTTTAACCTTTGCATTTTTATGTCAAAAACAAGTTTTTTTTCATTTTTTTGCTCGTCATTTCATTTCTTCTTACTATTCTTTTCTTTCCCTTTTTCCATTAAACTTCCTCCTAGATCATTGCCCTAGTTATCTTATCTTCTCTACTTTCTAGATATTTTCTCATTATCCTCTAAAACCTTCTCCCCTCCACATAATATCTCTTACCTTCTCCCGTATCTGCCCCCTCCCCTCCTCCCCTAGTCCCTAGGGACTGGTTGTGAAAGGTCCAATTCTATCCTGATGTTCTAATCTAAACCCAACATATAGTATTGTCTATCTATACATTCATTTATCTTTAGACAAATATAAATGATATATAATAAAGATATTGTAAAGGATTTGAGCTGGCAACTTTTGTGTCCATGGAAATTCGATTATCCCAAACGCTTGATCTCGCTATCTACAATGGGTTCTTTTGAGCAGAATTGGATCAATGCAGTCTCTTGATTTTGGATATTGCAATTTTCCTGTTTTCTCACTGGTTTAACACAAAATTCACTGGCTTCTGATTGGCTGTTCATGGGTTATCTGATGACACTAGATATCAAATAAAAATTTAAATCAATCTGTAGATTAACAGAAGATCAAGATCAAGCATCTCGATATTCACAATACAAGAGTTCCCACCTCCATGGTTGGAGAAAGGAAGTCAAAAAAATACCTTTTTATTGATAGAAGACAGACGTCACAGATTGAGTAATATGTAACCAGATAAATCTCATTTTTTCTTACTTTGACATGAAATCAAAACTATGGGAGCTATGAGGTCATAAAGTTGTACCATTAATATTGCATACAGTTTAGTATCTCCTTTTGTCAGTTCAGTGTGATTTAGATACCGTGAAACCCTTAAAAAGAATACATCGAAAGAATTCATCAAATGTCGTATTCTTCACTTTCTGATAATGGAATGTTGCAGATATTTAGTTTTTTAATTAAATGATTATATCGAACTCTTTAATTTCGTAAATACTGAAATTTACGTAATATAGCATAAGACTCATTGAAAAATTTGATAAATTCTTCCGATGTATTCGTTATTAAGGGTGTCATTGTATATTATATGTATCAGTAACAAACTGCAAACAGTGGAATGAGTGTCGTCTTCTTTTATTCTTTTAATCGTGAAATGCCGATAAGGATTTTCATAATTGGAGCCTGGAAGTCGACAATTTTCCTTACAAAAGCTCTATCTACAAAGCTTTAGCTCAATTTAATTAAAATTTTTTGGTGAAAAGTGTTTGATCCATTAATTTTAATAATCCCTGCTGGGTTCCGACCATAAGACATAAACCAGATAAAAATATTAATTCGTCGGACGACTAAAATACTCTTGATCCTGTGACTCGTTTTGACTTCTGGCTGGACATTTTTAGAAATACAGTGATAACCAGAAAACTCTGGAATAGATTTTTAATCTCAAGTTATGACTTTAAATAGTCCAATAAACCTAAGGCACAGCAATAGTGCAGTGTAAACAGACCCATTTTACTTAATCATTGATTTATAATTTACAAGTGAGGCTTTTTGTTTTGTAACAAGTATCAAATACACTACAGTATTGCATTATGTCGTCTTCATATTCTACAGTTTTCTAGTTATCAATGCAGTATGTTAATCAGAAGTTTAGAACAGTTGTGAATTTATGAATTCTTCAGATATCTGATTTAAATAGAAAGAACGACGACGGCAATCGTTCCACAAGGTTTTGTACTCAAATTGATAATTGCGATTATTTGTATTGTTTTTCAAGAAACAATTGAAAGTTGGTGAGTATACATAGTTTTAAATGATTTCTTCCATATATCTACTGTATTAGATATTAAAGACTTTTTGCAGTTTATTTTGTTAAATTTTACTGAAAAATATTTTACTTTTAAATCTACAATTTACTATAACATGACTCCAATATAATATTGATTATTATTGTTTTTGGTATCAAGCAACTTAATAAATATGGAAGAAAACATTTAAAACTATATTGAATTTGTGTGTAGGGCACAGATGTTCACGCATATTCTGAATGAACTAGTATCTTCTGATAATTCTGTCAAAAAATATTAAAGATTATGCCCCTGTCCTCTTGAATTTTATTTGCCCCCCCCCCAACTGAAAAAATTAAACTTTCGTGATTACTATTTCAAGGTACAGGGTGTCCCAAAAAACATGGGAATTCAGTGACGAATTCGATATCGCCTTTTCAAATAATTCTTTGATTTAGTATAGTGATACCTACTGAGAAAGATGTAATCTGTAAGAGTTTCGTCTGCTATGTTTACATTTTGTTTGTTTATGTTTTGACTGCAACCGGTTGTACTTAGTAAAACAAGAAAATTACAGTATACAAACAGAGTAAACTTGTCGTATTCACTGTTCATCTTGCGGAGACATTATAGACACATCTTTGCAGTCTTTTACCCTTTTCTTTAAATAAACTCTAGCAGACATAATAATATTATGGCTTTTGAAATTAGGTATTACAATGCTAATTCTCTCCCTGACCTTCATGGGAGTTGCGGGGAGACTTGTCTAATGCATTTAGCCATAATTGTTTATCAATTAGAGGGGGGGGGGATGAAAGTGAAAGGCCTGAGTGGAACCAACTATATTTGAACCGCGGTTTAAATTTAAGCCGCGGCTTAAATATGGTTGGTTCCACTTCAAATTGTATCAAATGTTTCAAGATTTAAGCCGGCGTTGAATTTTGGCGGATTTAAGCCGCGGCTCAAATTCTTTAAATTCGGCCTCAGGGATGGTTGCTCTTTCTAAGAATGAGGGACTTACACGGCACATTGAAAAGAAATCACCTAAGATTAATCTTCATATTTAAACTATCTTTAATCTCATTTTTTTTTCTTTTTTACTTAAACCTCAATTATTGTCTTCTAGCAACCATTCATACATGGTTAAATTCTGGTTCAATTTGGAAAACAAATTAAAAATAATGATTTTTTTCTATTGTAGATTCTTTCTTGTAGACTTGCATAGTTTTATTTGATGATTTTCTAATTGAATAGATTTTAACTTTTATTTCAATTAATAGTTGTTTTCATTTCTTACATATAAACTCAGTTATGATGTTATGATTATTCTTTTTTTTCTAATTTTTTTGTCTAGCTTTTTTTCCAGGAAAATTATAGTCTTTTTTAAATTATCAAAAATGTTTTTTTTGTTTATGTGTATCAATATATTATTGGCATTATAGACATACTTGGCTAAAGAGAAATATTCACAAAACCATGGTGCAGAAATTATCATGGGATTTGATAAATTCAAGAACATCCATAGGAAGGTAATAAATGGGGAATGACAAAAATTTATTTAGGTTTATAATACAGTGTGTACCACATTATTTAGGTTTATAATACAGTGTGTACCACATTATTTAGGTTTATAATACAGTGTGTACCACATTATTTAGGTTTATAATACAGTGTGTACCACATTATTTAGGTTTATAATACAGTGTGTACCACATTATTTAGGTTTATAATACAGTGTGTCCCACATTATTTAAGTTTATTATACAGTGTGTCAAACATTTTTTAGGTTTATAATACAGTGTGTCTCTCATTATTTCGGATAGTTTTGGCTCTAAATTGCGATTTTCGGTACTAATCAGAAAATTTCAGGAGAATGAATCAATTTAAAAAATTGAATAAAAACACCAGGTTTTTAGAGTATTATGTGCATATTTCAGCATTTAACCTTGGAGATAATCTAATATGATAAAAAAATGAATACACAATATTTTTTTTACGTTTTTAATTAAATCAAATAAATAATTATTAGTTAATAAACAATAGTCACAATTACAAATATAATATTAAATGATTTATTGATTTTTGAAGTTCTGAAAAGTTTTAATTATTCTTGACTTCAATCTACAGAACATATGACAACTCCATGACAGCATGTGCATCGAACCTCTATAACATCGGTAACAACAATGTCTACTTTCTGAAATAATTAAATAGTGTCCGAATTTAATGAATTTGAGCCGCGTCTTAAATCCGCCAAAAAACCGGTTTTAATTGAGCGCCGGCTTAAATCTTGAAACGACGAATACGATTGTGAGTGGAACCAACTATATTTGAGCCGCGGTTTAAATTTAAGCCGCCGCTCAAATTCTTTAAATTCGGCCTCAGGTTGTATTATTGTAAAATATTTTATAGATATTTTTTTCATTTTCATTCATTTTGATCTTAGAAGTTTCTCTTGCTTTTATTCATGTATTCTTTGCTATGCTATTGATCTACTCAAGTTAGCTTTTCACTAATTTGTTATCTAAGTTCTCTTTTTCAGTCCTCTACAAAGTTAGTAACTTTACGCATTATGCATTGATTTTACATTATTCAAAAAAAATATCAAATAATTACGTAACCTCGTAACGTTAAAGATCGCGAAACCTCTTACTAATTTCAAACTTAATTTTCGTATCCAGATATCTTTGCAATCTGTCTACAGACATTTGATATTCCAAACTTAGAATTTTTAATTTAATCAATAAAATACAATATTAATACAATAAAGACGACATTCTACGTCAACTTTGATTTCTACCGACCATTGAAACAGGATAAACAGTTAAATATTTAAACAAAGAGAAGTTGTCAATTCAAAAGTTTCTCTTAGTATTCATATATCTTTCTCTGTGAGCACAACTCATAATTTAAATTAGAAAGCTAGATTATTATGAGAATGATCAGTTTCTTTAACGAAATATCAATATTTTACCTGTTTTTTATTCCATACTTCACCTTCCTCTCTCTCTATCCTTCTTCCTTCTTCAAGGAAATTACACGATCCTTCCCTAATAAAAACAATATAGTACAGTTAGACTAATAAAACTCTTAATAGGCCGACGACATTTAAGTCATCGATAATACATATTTGATGAATCTTGAAAATCAATTTTTTAAGGGGTATTAAACTAGGCCTGTGTTCAATTACATTGCAAAATTGCTGTGTTTAATGTTCTTTGGATTACATAGAATCATATGATTTGTAACACATGTTTTTCTTTCTGATTTTTACCTTTGGATCATTATTTGTTGTTTGGTTTCCTTCTTGTTTCCATCTCTATCTAAATCATCTTTTTCAGATTCATTTATTGGATTAGAACCATCTTCATCCTTCCTTTCTTCACTTGATGAGTCGTTTTTGTAGCAGTTTGGATGATTATCCTTTAAAGTATAAAGGACCGAATTTAATGAATTGGAGAGGTAGCTGAACTACCTACCGCCGGTTCAAATCCTGGATAACTGATTTAATTCCTCAAGAATTTTTAACTTGAATCGGTGATTCAAGATTTGAACCGGCGGTAATCCATTTATAAAAAAAGTAGGAGTGGCCATAGTGCTCCGCCTACTTTATCAGTTATGTAAGTAGATAGATATCTATTTAAGATTAAAAATCTTCAAAAAAATTGAGAATTTTGCAAAAAACGATTCAAATTCATTGAATTCGGTCCCTTTAAGGATTATTTTATTAATACAATAACAAACATGTTAGATTTGCAGAACATTCCATTTAAATCAGTTATTTCATGCATAAAGAAAAGAACATTATGTCATTTTTTATTAAAAGAAAATATTAAATAAATGAAATGAAACAGGATCAAACTCAAACTATTAAGAAAATATAAAAAAATATTACAGTCCAGTATTATTAAAGGGACTGTTACCGTATTTCCAAGTGACCCTCAGCATGCAAAGAAAGCAATGCTGGATTCACAGCGGTAACCTTTAAAGCTTTGTTTGATTAAGTATGATTATTAATCAATGTTTTGAGATTTGAAATTTGATTATTTTCAAATGTGGTTTCTCTACCAAAGGGACTTGCAGGACTGAAGGAAAAAATAAAGAAATTGTCAGAATTAAAAACGTTTAAACCTAGAAAAACGACAGTGTCTTCAACGTTATTGATCGGATAAAGGTTTCAAGGGTATCGTTGTTAATCGGGCGTTGCATAAAAGGTCACTATATAAATGACGCTCACAATCCTTTTAATCCATTAAAAATAGTTAATCTGACCTGAGTAAAATCATCGCAGTGAATCACACCCTAAATGAGTTTTTAAGAAATATTATTTGTTAACACTTAAAACAGACTAAACAAAAAAAACCTTGGCACAATAACAGATATTGCAGTTATCAATAATCCAGGAACCAGATCTGAAAAAAGAAAAAACCATTTCAAGCCAAAGTTGTAAAACTTTATTTGATTAAAATTTAAAATGTTGTGAAATATTTAAATCGCCAGATAAACTAAAGAAATAATTATATCGTAGAAACGGCGTGGAAACCAACAAAGAAAATGGCCAAAAAAAAACTTTAGATTCATCCACGAAAATACGCAATCTTTTTTTAATTCTTATTCGAGGCAGGTAGAGTAAGTAGCAGTTATTTTGGATTGGATGAAGTGATTATTTTGATAAACAGGCGGGTATAGAAGATTTTAGTTAGAGGGCCGGGGGGAGGGGGCAAAAAAGTGCTGTTCTTTTAAGTTCTGAATAGTCTCCTGTAGACATTAGTCCACCGTCCTCTTTATTCTCTCTAACCCTCCTCTCTTAATGTAAACTCTCCCTGACCTTCATGGGAGTTGCGGGGAGACTTGTCTAATGCATTTAGCCATAATTGTTTATCAATTAGAGGGGGGGGGGATGAAAGTGAAATGCCTTTTGTAAAATTGGAAATAAGTGGCGCTCGCACCAAGAAAATTTTCAACTACTTTTTAAGGGGGCAAGAGGACTACTGCCCCCCCCCCCCCTGTTTACGCGCCTGTAATGATAAAAATGTGCAGGGGTAATGATAAAACATGTTTTCACAAAAAAAAATTATTAAAATTTACAAATATGAAAATTCAATATTTTGAATTTTATCAAAGAAACATATGGAATTAAATACCTAAAGGTACGTCCATTTGGCCTTTCAGGGGTCCACCAGTCCGCATGGCACACCGTTCTTTTTCAGAATGAAATAATAATTTTTATATTTCTTTTAAAATTTAAAAACATTATTATGAAATATAAACGAACTAACAAAAGATAAAATGAAAAAAAAATCTTACTTCTGGAATGTTCTACATTTAGTGTTCCATCCTATTATACGGTAAATCAAAAAGTCACAAAAAAATACACGAAAAATGCTAATTTATTTAAGACAGTCATTTTAAATCATTGCTTTAACGATGTTAATTTCAGGATTAGATAAACAGCTCAGGAGTCAGGACCAATAAACGTTATTGTTCTTTGGATCTACAAGGTTGGGGTTATTGCAAAAGGGGGGCAAGCAAAGTGGGCAGTGCACCTAGAGTCTTTCAGGGGACTGTAGAGAGTGTTGGATGTCCGATTCTGAACGGTACCATTAACAGCTTTGTCTTATCAAAACAATTTTTTGTGGAATTTAATCGCCCCATGATTAAACATTAAAACTTATTAAATTACCCACTTATTTAATGATTCTTCGCCCCATGATTAAACATTAAAACTTATTAAATTACCCACTTATTTAATGATTCTTCGGAAAAAAAATCTACCACTCCCGTCCCTGTACCTTCCAAGCAGTTCTATGCACTCCCTTTTTTGCCTGATCCAGCTGAAAACACAGGTTATTAAAGTCGTCTTCCTTTACTTCTATGGGCGGGCTCAAAATATGCTTGATAAACAAAAACAATGTGACCAACAGTTTAACCCAAAACTTCGGAAACATCAAATGAGGTTGTAAAAGGTCGTCTTCTAAACCTAGTGATGGTGATGTGCTGCAGAAATTTCTCTTTATAATTTAGTAATTAAATTAAGTTCTTTATACTGTCCATGCACATTCATGGCTATTTCTTTATTTTTACAATTACTGACAATCAGGTCTAATAGTATAAAACCTATTGAAAAACTGTCAAGACGAAATTTTATCAATTCTTCCGTAGTTCTGGGTCATACTGTATAATATTATGAAAGAGGAAGACGACTTCAAGATTCAAGTAATTGATTTAAGAGTCCAATGAACATGAAAGAAAGCCATTTTGTGCGCACACAGGCAACCATAAGTTGATTTTAAGCTATATATACTGTTAAACATTTTTCTTTATAACCACATCAAATAGTCATGAGATTGCCTAAATGTCGTCTTTCTATTTCACAGTTTTATGGGTTACATTATATAAATAGAAATTTAAGAAAAGGAGCATCGGGCATTACTCAAAAAGGACAAAAGATCAGATAGCATGTGCGGCTTTTGATGAATTCAAGTAACATTGTTGGAGCTAAGCACATTTTCTAGATTTATTTAAATTTAGTTTTGAGTTTATGATAAAACTAAATTCCATACATATATATTGTCCTATATATAGGGAAAGTACAAAGAATCTGTTAATTAATACGGCCAATAATTACCTATCTATATACTCCTTCGCCTCCAGATACTGACCTAAACAATTGGGATTATGAATACTTTGAGCTTGATGTTTAATTAAACGGAATACCGTTTATTTATTTTTTTATTGACGCTTCATGAAAAGATGGCAATGCCCGAGGCATGGTCTAGTATGAATTAATTATCAATGTTTATAATTTTAAAAACTGATTATTTTCTGTTGCAGTTTCTCTTCAATAGTGACCTGCGCATTTCTACTCCAGGAAACCGTTTAGGAATTATCAGACTAAAACACTTTTAAATTTAGAAAAACTGAAATATCCTTCACATTTTTGATCAAAAGTTTCAAGGGTACCGTTGTGAATCGGACATTGCCATGTTTGCATGGAGATGCTTACATTTCTTTAAGGTTAACTATTTATTAAGACTACTCACCAAGAATAGTTCCTCCTGCAACTTTTTCAATTCTACTATTTTCACTTTTAATTGGAATTACACAACACATATTCAGAAAAATAATCATTTTATAAATTATCATTTTTTTAGAATTTTTACGAAGAATGATAATGTTTGATTGTTTTGTTTTAACTCGTTAAATGTGTAGGAAACTGGGCTAGGTCTCTGTATCAGTTTTCTCAATCAATTATTCCATTTTTTCATTATCCTGTTACCAGGGATATTTATTTTAAATGTATCGAATAGAAAACACAAAGTAGAAAATATATTCTCTATTATGTGATAAAAATGTTAATCTCATTTGTTTCAGAATTGTTTTTCTCATCCTTTAATATGTCATTGCAGCTCTAAAAAATACCTAATTTCTAGTATGTTGATCAAGAACTGTGATTGCGTAACAATACTTTTTGTAGCCTGCGGCTGCGGCCCCTGCGGCTCATTTCTGGATTGGAAACTATTAAAGGGACCGTTCACTTATTTGGGTAATTTCAGGGTAAACTAAACAGCCTATTTGCTGTTGATTGGTAATAGTCTTACTTTTCAAAGACAACTGTGGCCGGAGAAAAACCCGATTTTTCGTTCAGAATTCGAGCGCAAAGGGACGGTCCCTCTCTATAGACACTATTTGATGCTTTTTTCAGTAACAGCAGCCCAATAACATTTAAATTCATTATATTTTAATGTCATTATGTGTTCCTTATTATGTACTAAAATATGAAAACTTTTGATATTTGAATCGACTTTTTCTCCGGCCACAGTTGTCTTTGAAAAGTAAGACTATTACTAATCAACAGCGAATAGGCTGTTTAGTTTACCCTGAAATTACCCAAATAAGTGAACGGTCCCTTTAAAACCGGGACTATTAATGATAAATATTGCGAAAAATCCAAAAAATAAAAAAAATATGATCCTGTTTGTCCGTCCTGAAAACGATGATCTTGAACCGCTATAATAAATTACATTTTAGACACCCAATCATTATTTTTTTTTATAAATATATATTTTTCAAGGCACACTCAAACAAAAAAATTCTAACATAGATTTCCCTTAGTTGGGAGAGGGTTTATGTATTAAACGTTTATATTTCGCAGATGAATTTTATCACAAACTAAATTTATTGTTTCTTTATTAGCTCCTAATTTTATATTTGATCATTCTGAAACTGTATTCTTTCCTACCCGTCCTAGAAAATCATTTCCTTTTCCGGTCCATGCCGTCTGACCAATCTTACTTCCGGAACTAAACTTCCGGTGTACACTCATTACCACCCTCGTATAGGCTAGATCCAGGAGAATACTGTACACTGTACACTGTACAGTCCAGTGTGCAGTATTCCTTGCAGCACTGTAGTTTAAACTAAAATCTAAATAATCAAAATTTTTACCATATATAATATGTTTGGAAAAGGAATTGAGTTTATGCCACTAAATCTGATTTTCTAATCCCTATATGCACACTAATTTAGCAAACTTTAAATATTGTTTTCTATTCCTCAACAGTGCGCGCGGCGTGTCTTTTCAGTTTTCCATTCTCCTCCCCCCCTTTCTCCTTTACTTTTGTGTTCTATTCATCAACAGAGCTTTTTATTCTCTTTATTTCACAAACTCCAGAATGATCTTTTTGGCCAAAAAATGGACCACACTCTCCTTCCTTCTGTCCTCTCTTCTATCCTATCTACTTCTATCCTCTTTTCTATCCTCCTTTTTGCTATACTCTCCTTCTAACCTTCTTAATTCTATCAACCCCGCTTCTAACCTTCTTAGTTATATCAACCCCGCTTCTAACCTTCTTAGTTCTATCAACCACGCTTCTAACCTCCTTAGATCTTCTATCAACCACGCTTCTAACCTTCTTAGTTCTATCAACCACGCTTCTAACCTTCTTAGTTCTATCAACCCCGCTTCTAACCTTCTTAATTCTACCAACCCCGCTTCTAACCTTCTTAGTTCTATCAACCCCGCTTCTGTCCTCCCTATATCCATCCTCCTTTTCCACCTCATTACTCCTCAATATGAAGTTAAAGATAAATAAATCATTGATTTACTGAACTAAATTTATTCAAAGTTTGGGGAAACTTATATTAGTATTTACTAGTAGTAAATACGCATATCTTAGCCTTAGCTGGAAACTTTAGATAAAATATATTTTTTACGGTCTATTTTTTTTACCGGCAAGGTAAGGTAGTAGCTGTTAGTGCAGTGTTAGCAAATAAAACATCTTATTGTTTTAAATGAATCTTAATATTTATTATATAATGTTACACTCTCATGGTTAATGTACCCTACCTTGCCGGTCAATCCCGTTGACCCGAAACTTAAAATCAGTAATGTTTTCATTTTGCAGTTTTCTTTATCTTCAATTTTATTATTTGTGTCTTTTTTTAAACAACATGGTTAAACTAGCTGAAGGGCCCGGCGTTGCCCGTAGAAAAAAAAATATATTTTTTTTTTAAATGTTGAAAAGAAAAATATTCCGAATTTTTTAGCCTATATTACCCCCCTGGCCACAGCTCAGTAACATTTGGTTGTTGTTGTTGTTGTTGTAGCATCATCCTGGGTCAGGATCTTCGAGTTCTTCCAGTCCAAGGAAATTTGAGGCTTCTATAGGGTGGGTCCATAGGCTGGTAGTGGGAAGGCTGGTTGGATTTGCATGGCAATTAAAAAGGTGGTTTGTATCGTGAGGTGTGGTTTCACATTTGGGGCATTTATTTTCAATTTTATCATCTAATCGGTTGAGGTAGGAATTAAGGAGTCTTGAGAAGCCACTCCTGAGTTGGGAGAGTCTTGATCTGGCGATTCTTGTGAGTTTAATTTCATCAGGATTGATTGGTGGAGGGGGGTTTTAATCCTGGCCGAGGATGCAATGGTTTAAGGAGAGGGATGATGATCGAGTTTTTCCATATTTGAGGGATTTTACTGTTCTGAAGTGAGAGGTTTAAAATGTTAGTTAGATACTCAAGTCCTAGTGGTCCAAGGTGTTTAAGATGAAGTTGGACATTCCGTCAGGTCCTATTGCTTTGGAGGATTTGGCTTGTTTTATTGCTTCGCTTGTATCCGATGCGGTGATTATTGTGGCTCCCGATGTAGTGTTCCTTTGTGATTCTTTGAAGAATCACAAAGTAACATTTGGTCTAGTACACTTTCGTCTAATAACATTTGGTCTAAGTAACATTTGGTCTAAGTAACATTTGGTCAAAATAACATTTCGTCAAAGTAACTTTAGTAAGTAAATTGGTCTAAAACTACAGAATTGGTTTAAGTAACTTCAAGAAAGGAATAAGTAACATTTTGTCCAAGTAAATTTTGGTATAAGTAATTTTAGTGAGGAATTTGGTATAAAACTAAATTGCCTAAATGAGATGGTTCCGTGAAGTAGTGCGTCTACAGAAAGATGTAACAATCTTCTGTAGAATGTGAACCTTGCCCAATAAAAAATGGTTGTCAAAAGTACTTCATCCCTCTCATATTCGTTCATACGCTACTATTGGTCTATGGAAAACAACAACAACAACAAAGAATCATGTAAATTTTCTTATTAACTACCTATGTATGTTAATAAAGGAATGCGTTGAAATCTTTAGTTTTTCTCAATAGAAACGTTTTCAACTTGATTCCCTTTCAGAGTCTGTCCATTTTATTTTATTTGTTTTTTAATTGAAGATAAAATCTTGCATGTTTTTAACCGAATCTATGTAAGAAAGTCCCGGGAAAAAAGTTTCTGAAAAAAAAACCTGGAAATAAAAACTTTGGAAAAAAAATTTTCTCAAGTCCTTGGAAAAAATGTCACTGGAAATAAAGTCCTGTGTTTTGGATTCCTGGGACTTTTTTTCCTAAAATAGTATGAGGGCTGCCAATAAAGTCTCAGGAAATAAGATCCCAGGAAAAAAAGTCCTGAAGAAAATAAATCCGAGGAAAAGAAAAACCTAGAATTGTAAATCATGCATTTTCACTTGTTAGAGGACTTTTTTTCCGAGGACTTTTTTGTATAAAATTTTACTGGAGCCAGAAAAAAAAGTCCTATAAAAATAGTCTCGAATTGGTAGGACTTTATTTCAGGAGACTTTTTAATAAAAGGACTTTTTTCCACAGGACTTTTTTAGTGTGAGATTTTAAAACTTTTTTTCCGGAAACTTTTTTTCCAAGAATATTTCTGAAGTTAAGATTGTATTTTTGTAATAATATAACAATAATGTTAAAACAGGTGTGAATAGACATATTTTACAACTAAAACTACAAAAAAAAGTATGAGTGAGTTAATGAGAAAAAACCATAGGCCAGGCGTTATACGACACTTCAAAGTTCCATTTGTCTTTAAATCAATGCATCTTTTCATAGCAGCCTTGATATATGTTTTTACACATACTGTACTTGTTGTACACAATATAAAGTATACAGTATACACTGCCTGAGCCGGAAATTTAAAAGAATATCGTTGAATAACACTTCCGAGTTTCTGGGGTCTACAGATTTGTGAAGATTTTCATATAAACACAGAAAATATTCATATCTATATAATAAAATAAGACATTCGTATATATATATATGTTGCCTACAGCCGAACTAACTGCTAAACCGATTGGGCTGAAATTTTTGTGGATACTCAGGGGTGTTATAAGCTAAAAAAAATTCGTACCTAATTTTTTCAACATTTTTTTTTATTTTAATATTTTTTTTATTTTTTTTCCATGGGCAACACCGGGCCCTTCTGCAGCTAGTAATATATGTCTATATATAAATTTGGCTTGGGTGTCTGGGTGTTTGTCTGTTTGTTTGTATCCAATAAGCGTCAAAACGGTTGAACCGATCGGGCCAAAATTTTCTGTGCGACATCTAGGGACCCCAGGGAAGGTTTATGAATGATCAAAATTTCAAATATTTGTCTCCATCAAAATTTGATCTTCATTAAATTTTTGAAAATTTTGAAATCCACGAAATTTTTTGTCAAAATCCGCGAATTATTTTTGTTTTGTTTTACGATCTACACAAGGAGAACATGTTCACAATTAATTTAGAAGATGGGCGCGAAGTGCCCTCTAAGGCTAGTATATGTATATATATGTATTGTACAGTGAACAGACGTAACAGATTCCTCATTCAATCATAGCAAAGTTGTTCACCGTAGGATAGAAACTAAATTTGAAATTTATTGTGGAACTAAACTAATCTAAAATAAAGTTATATTGAATTTTGTATAGTTCCATTTATTACATCACTACCCCACCTACCCACCCTCCTATGTTTACACCAATCGAGAACTCTTTTAATTCGGGGACAAAAGGAATTGAATTTTTTCCACAGACTCTGATTTTCTGATCCCTGTTTCTTTGCAACCCGATGTCGTAGGCCTATGATATTTAAAACTATGAATTC